TTATTATTATTATTACGACTTTGTAAATTCTATTACTGAATTGAAGTCTAGATGAGATATATATAACAAAAAGATAAACGTTTAAAATGTAATAACAGGATATAATTAAGTAAAAAATATTTCTTACGTGTAAATATTTTCAAGGTTCGATTCATATCTTTTTTTTGTAATCCCCTATCACCATGCAACTCTTTAAGACCTAACGTGTTCTTCAAATTATTCATTCCTAATCGTAATTTGTTTAAACTCATAGCAGATACATTAATAATAATTATTACCATTATTCTGTAAATAAACAAAGAAAATTTTTCGGCTTATTTCTTCTTCTTTTTTTTAAATATATATATAGTATTATTTTTTTAATTTCCTTCAACGCATTTATGTGTATATTTACACACACTCACACACACACACACATGCACGTGCGCGTATTTAGTTTACTTTTATTTTAGAGTCAGAAATATTGTGTTTCTTTATTTTCCTTTTTTTTTCATGTTTGCCAAATTATACAGTACTGCGATTAAATATAAACTCGATAATAATTTTCTAAGGCATTTGAGTTAGGACGCAGTGACTGCCATGAAAATAACTTGATTTCGAATTAACCGAATGATTTAAGTGAATGAAAATGTAAATCAGCGCATTATCTGTATTATTAATGAAAACAAATAATTTTATAAACAAAAACATATCTATTACTTAATCAGTCGTTGTTTAGAAATTTCAAAGAGAGAAAGTAGAAAAAGATTGGTCAAGTTTATGATAATTCGCAGTACCATATAAAAAATATTTTTAATCTACGCTCTAATTACAAGCAGATTATTTTTCGTTCAGTTTCAATTTGTATTTATTATGTATCAATTATTTCTTGCTCTTCTAATACAAAAAGAAAAAAATAATAAAAGAGAAAAAAAAATAAGAGAAAGAGGAAAAAATGCATACCCACGAGTTATCAGTATCAGTAAAACAAATGTTTTTCTGGTTTAAAATCTGCATCATCATATGAATGAAAACGGGATAAGTCTATTAATTATAATTGTACATTTGATGCAGTATAAAAAAATGTTCACAAGTTAGTCATGTCAAAGGTTTTCGTATATAAGACTTACAGTATTCGCTTTTTTAGGACATGCTTCTCGAAACACTTGTTCGATCAAAGGTTGCCTATAATAAAAAGAAAATTACAAAATATTAATGTTTGTAATACAAGAACTCAGTTTGAAAGTTGCTAATTTTTAGCTAATTTATTCTCATTTATATAGACAAACTTTTTATATAACGATGGTAGAGAAATAATGCATATAATATTAGGAAGAGATAAAATAATTGGATTCTTGCCTAGAAGATCTAATTTTAATCAGGAAATGGGCCAAATTTGTAGAAGACTAAGATATCTTAAGCACTTAGTGATGAAATTAAACTATATAATTAGGCTAGAGTTTTGTCAAAAAAGGCGACTACTATGTGAGTTTTATTTTCGTACGAAAGAGATAATATGAGGAAAAATTGAGAAGAAAAAATATTGTAAATAAAATAATACTCACTTAGATTGAAGTCCTCCTCCGGGAGGTAAATTGGGGAACTGTTGGTCCACAAGAAGTTGTATTAATTTGATGAAGTCGAACTTCTCCTCTTCTTCTTGTTCCGCTACTATTTCTATGAAAGCAATTAAAAACTATCAGTATAATGTTCAACCACTTAACTTTAAGAAATTAAATGCATTCCTATTATTTTTGAAATAGTGAAAATATGAATAAAATAATAGATTTTAATGTTGCAAAGATAAAGTTATATATATATATATAGAGTTGGAGAAATACTGCTTATACTGGATGTAAAACATTTGTATTAGGTAGTTCAATATATCACACAGAAAGAAGGAATTGATTGCTTGAATAATTAAGAAAAAGAAAAAAAGAAAATTAATAATTATAGGAAAAATTAAAATTGATATTAATAATTTGATAGAAACATCTATAATACGAAACACATCAAATATATGCTATAGAAAAATAATTGTAATGTTTAAGAATTCTATAGATCAAAAAGAAACAAACACAGTTGCTGTTATTTAGTTTATGAGAAAAAATAAAGAAAACATGTGTATAAATATTATATAACTTCCATGCAGTATTTTTTTTCTATTATAATATAAAGATTTAAATATTATATAAATATAAAAGGAAATATATTCCTTTTATATATATACACACATATGCATATACATACAAATATAAAAGGAAATGTATTAACTAGATTTACATACACGTGCATCTACTTAGGACTGGAATAATATATTTTACAGTACATTTCTTATGGGAATATATGAAGCATACTCCGGTCTTAAGTAGATACATTGATATCACATTTTACTTATGTTTATACTAGTATATATATTTTTGTCAATTGTTTTTTTTTATATCCACCTCTGGAATTGTCAAGTGCAGATCCTTCTTCCTCCTTCCCACCCCCTATTCACATATATTTGTAAGTTGCCATGTTCCTCCATAAGAAATGCATTGTTTGCAAAAATAACATAAAAACATTATGTGAAGTTCCTCTAGACTTGTTTTAAAAATGTTTTTCACCTACCTGCTACATTGCTTTTTACATGTACATATCAAGAGAGAGGAACAAACAACTTCCTTAATTATAACTGTTTTTTTTTGTTTTGTTTAAAACATATTTTCATTGTCTAGGCACCTGTCAACTCCAAGGGTGGAATATAATATCTCTAAATAATAATAATCTTGTATTTGAAGTAAGTTTAATCTTTGAAAAATTCAATATATTACAATTTTCTAAATTGATATATATATAAATGAAAAGTTTTAACTTGCATTAGCGAAACAAAGTACCCTGCGTTTTATCGTGGGCTTTTTAAAGAAGATATATTTCATCTTATTGCCACGTACGAGTAGCAAGCACATTATTTATATATCAGAAGGTTTATTGTTTTTCGATTTAGATTAAATTTCAAAATAATAGGTGAATGGTAATGGAGTTAATTATTCCTATTTCTATGTAAGATAGTTATGAGTTATCAAATTCCAAGGACAAATATACGGATATATATATATGAGAAAATAATGTTAGATATATAATAACGTAGATGTTATTCATCGTCTACTTTACTTTACTTTATATATGGTATCAAGAATGATTTTTCAAAATATAACACTTTTTAAATATATACGACAAATCTTAGAGAAGATTATAATGGAAAAAATTGTTATATTAGACTTTATACAAGTAATGTTGGTCCATAATTTATATCCTATTATTATAGTTAGAAATGTACTAGTTTTATTCATAAATATTCTTCTTGTAATTTAGATATCTCTACTGTATAAATACGACTTTAGATTGTATATATAAGTTAATTTTAAAAAGAAAATTTATATATATATATGTGTGTGTGCACGTGCACGTAATATTTATATAATCAGAATATTATTGTAATAATTGACGAATTTTTGTTTATATATATATATATATATATATATATATATATGTTTTTCTTGAACTTCAAGATTTGTACATAATGTTTCTATATTGCACGAATCGATCATCTTTAAATATATGATTATTTTAATAAATACTAAATAACTCACATATCTTAATAAATTGCTATTAAATATCGATAAGAATTTGTAGAATTTAAAAATACAGAAAAATGAATCGTCTAGATATTCAATTTCTTACTTTAGAACTAAATCTTATAAGGAATGTCATGTGTGACATTGTGATCTGGTATTAACACAACAACAAAAAGAATATAATGAATGTGTATATGGAAAAGAGAAAGAACCTTTAATACTCCTTTCAATGGCTATTTCCAGTTCAGCTTCCTTTTCCTGGGCTTCGGAATTTGGTTTTGGCGCCGCGGGGAACGTAACCAAGACAATACTCATATTATCTCTGCTACCCTATAATAAAAATTTGTATTTAGTAAGATAAATATTAATATTAACCCCTTGTACTATGATTTGACACAGGAGCTATGTGTCAAAAGTGTTATATATATATATATATATACATATTTGAAATAGATATAGAAACTTACAAGAAATCTAATAATAAATGTCGAAATTAAACTTCATGTTATTAATAATGCTAAAATAAAAAAGAATAGTATACCAATGTTTATATACGATATATGGTAAATATAATCTTACCTTGTAAAGACATGTGTCTATGACTTGATTTGTCACTGCTTCTAAGTCATCCGTAAGCAGTAGCCTTGATCGTATAAAACCACATAAGTCTTCATTATTCATAACATCCCAAATACCATCACATGCTAAAACTAGAAATTCATCGTGTTCATCATCTCTGTCTCTTACGAATATTTCTGGTTCTGGTGACACTAACTGTTCGCAGGGGCCCCTATCTTTCAAATTTTTATATTCGTAGTCTCCCAATGCTCTTGATACTGCCAATGCACCATTTACTCTTTGTATCATGACACTTCCACCTGCATTCTGTATTCTTTCTTTCTCTGCAGCTAAAAATGGTTTATGATCTCTGGTAGAGAATACCGGGCATCCGGAACTGCAAAGTACTGCTCTAGAGTCTCCACAATTAGCAATATATATATTTCTGGGAGATATAAATGCACAGACAGCTGTTGAACCAGATTTATCTTTTCCATCGCTCATCTCTGGTAAGTCTCTCATTTCAACATCAAGCTGAAGAAATCCAGAATGTATTGCCTTAATGACATCCTCTGCTTTGAATTCTTCAGTCTTCATAATGCACTCTAACAAATGCTCTGCACTGTGCTCTGATACTAATGCCCCTGCATGCCCATCAAACACAGCAAAATAACTCCAATCGGAAAGGCCACCTCCCAAGCCGGTTATAGCTCTATGAGCATCTTCCATTTCCAATCGCCAACCCTGCATACTGGAGACGCCATATCGTAATCCATTGCCAGCCCCATGTTCATTGTATTTATCTGTTTTAGGAGTATCCAAAAATGCCCCCATAGTATTTGTCGAATACTTTTTACTTTGGTTAAAATAATCAATTTTCTTAAATATTATTTAATCAGCATTTTTCCATGTACAAGGATCTAATGCTTTTTTTCACTTTATCTAAAATAGAAAGAAAAAAAGATACTTCAGTTAACCTTTATTATTCATTATCAAAATGAACAGTCAATGTTATTGCGTTTCATTGATAACTTTATCCAAAGAGTATCAACGATTAGTATCACGTTTGGAAAAAAACGTTTCATATGTACGATGATCTCAGAAACATGCATTTGTAAGATTACCATGAACAAACTTGGCCTTAAAAATGACACATCAATAGACATTTAATATTCTAAACATTAACCGATTCCTTTACCCGTTCGAAAAGAAATGATAACAATCTAATAGAATGAAAATAAGCGTGTAAATGTAAAGAGTCTTTCATTAAAATGTTCTTAAGGTACGCGTTAATAGTCATGGAACGAGAACGATCGGTTACCGGCGAATGTATCGCCAATAATTCCTAAATATTCCAAATACATCGATATTGAATTAATTAAATATTTATTACAAGTGAAAAAATGTAAGCTCTAGCAGACATAAGCGGTAAAATATTATTACGAGAACAATTCGTTTACGGCAACGCCAAAATTTCGCTACTAAAATAGTTTTACCTTAACTGGCTGGCTCATTCGTGGAAATAAAAAAAAATAAGAAACTTACATGTAGAGATTTTGGCCAAATATCATCGTTACTTTTTTTGGAAGAGTATATTATTCGGTTATATGTGCGTTACAGCGTGCGTGGTATTACGCTAATCGACTCGTTCCATGTTTTTCCAAATGCACACGAATATGTATTACCATCGCCAACGTACCCCTTTGCTCTAAGCTCACACACACACACACAGTAACACGAAATCGACTTACGCAAATGGCGGATCAACCTTCGCGCTATTTATTAATAGCCAAGCGTCGTGGCGTCATCTTTAACCAATCAAAATCACGGAATTCTCCTTACGCGCGGAGTAATTCAAATTATTTTTATTCTCTATGATTGAAAACCATATATTTACGAAAACAAAAATAGTGTTTTAATTAAGAAATATTTGAAAACTTGTGTTCAGGTGAATGTATGTTTTTTTTTTAATGCTTTCTATGAAATATTAATTGTTTTTAATTAATGTAGAAGATGTCACGTGATTTTGGTTTGTTGTTTGTTTGCACGTGTCAAGATAATTTTAATAATAAATAAAATCAATATTCTATCGTTTATCAATTCTAATTTTATCTCTGATGATTAATTATTATTCTAAACTTTTTTTATTAAGTGAGTAAATATTTATTACAATTATCGGTCGATAACTTGTTTTTGGTTATGCTAGGTTTGCTTTTGATAGTGTGAGTTTCCCATCTTAAACTACTGCTATAGTCGATGGACATTAATTCTTACAAATAAATTCTGCTGGAAAATATATTACATAGAATCTTTTAAAAATGAGTGATTTCCGCGACGATAGTGTAAAAACTATTAATCAAAAAATTGATAATAAATATATACCACGTAAGTATATAAATGCAAAAAAATTTATGATATACTTTTTTAGAAAATAAGTATTTTACATTTATATTATCAACCTAATCTAGATATTCATGCAACGTGCTTGTTGGTAATTTTATTATTATTTAAAAAAATAAATTAGGAACTGCATACAATTAATTATCATCCATCTAAACATAATTGCACATTATTTGTAATAATTTATACACTATTTAAATGAAAAAACAATTAATTTTTGTACAAGAAAAGAATATTATTGCTCACTTATGTAAAACATTTCTAATATTTTTTGAAAGAGATATCTTTTTTAATTTAACTTTTAATCTTGAAATTTAATGTTTGTTCAATTTATTAATCTATTAGGTTCTTTATCTTTGACTTAGAATTAATTAAAATAAAGTTTGTGATAAGTAATATAAATAAGTGAATTAGTTTGTTACAAAATTTGTTCATTTTGTTCATTTTGTTTTTCAGTTACTCCACAAGAAGGATTAGCACCACTTAGTCCATATTTAAATTTTGATCCGTCGTATCTTCCACCACGAGATCCACAATATATATTTCCAGAAGGAGCTGTAAAACAACGAGGACGTTTTGAGTTAGCGTTTGGTCAAATAGGTGCTGCGTGTATAATAGGAGCAGGTATTGGTGCTAGTACCGGTTTATATAGAGGGATTAAGGCAACAGCTTTAGCTGGACAAACTGGTAAACTCAGAAGAACACAGTATGTACTTGTCTTATTTTATTAGGTTTTTACTTTATCTTAACCTCTTGTGTTATGATTTAATACATAAGGCTGCATGCCATATTCAATGTTAAAGTACCAATTGTTAAAGTGCAAACGGTTAATATTTCAGTTATTAAATTAATAAGTATTTTCATAGAACGTGTGTACAAATACAAAGTCATGTATACAAGATATTATGTCTGTTTGTTCATAGGTTGATTAATCATGTTATCAAAAATGGATCAGCTCTAGCAAATACACTGGGAGTAATAACGGTAATGTACAGTGGTTTTGGTGTTCTTTTATCTTGGGCAAGAAGTACAGACGACTCCTGGAATACATTAACAGCAGCAACAGCGACTGGCATGTTATTCAAATCGACAAGTGTGTAACTTCTCGTTATTATTGTTTAACTAATCTATACTAATTTATATTATATAATCTTGTTTATATAATTATGTTAAAGGTGGTTTAAGAAAATGTGCTTTAAGCGGCTGCCTTGGACTAGGAATAGCATCTTTATATTGCTTATGGAATAACAGGAATTCACTTTCACAGTTAAGATATGGTGTTAATCCAGCATAAGATTGCGTGTATAATTGTGGAAAGCCCTTTAGTCAAATTCTATCTACCCTTAATTGTTCCTTATCGTGTCCCATTCTCACATTTAATAAAAATTAAATATTTCAATGTATCTGTAACTCTTGAGATACATAGAAATAGACATATTCGTCTATTTTTTATTTTATTGTCTTCTATATACTAGTATATACTAGTAGTCGCATATAATATAGTAGTTATTTAACACAATTAAATGATATATTAACTATTTCTAATTGTAAGTATAATTATTCCAAATTTACAATATTTCAGGGTGTGAATGAATTAAATGTACTAATATTTACATTTGTTATATAAATATTTGAAATGATCAAATATTACTAAAATAACGAATATTGATCAGATGTATACTATTATATACTATGAAAGACAAATACAGTTTATATTAGTTTATCGCTAAAGGCTCTTAAGAGACATTTTTTTTTCTTTTTGCAGATTGAAATGACGATTCAAGTTTGTCAACGACTAGAACAAAATTTCGTAATGAATTCTAACTTTATATTCTATAAAAATAGGAAATCTAATCGATACGCCTGCATAAAAACAAACAGAAATTATTATGAAAGAGAAATGCATGCAATTTATGAACGAACAAATTGTATGATGTATGTATATACATATATATATGATACGCGCGTGTATATGTATATATATTTATTATTACATCGATTATAGTAAATAGTAATTTATTTCTATTTTGTGCCTTGCCTTATGTCTATTTATCATATTAGTACAAAGATATTCACTCAAACTTATTATTACTTAAATAAAACAATTTTCTTGTCGATAAAGAAATAGACAAAACAATAATCATTTTCGCCTTATCAATAAATTCACTAGTTCCCATTTGATTATTAAAATTAAGCAACAATAGTATCTGGGTAGCTGACTGCTTTGGAACACAGAGTGTTGCTAACTCCAGGGAGGTGACTTAAGGTTACGATAAGTTTTTGTCAAGGTCTCTTAAACCCATAAAAGAGAAAATAATATAAACAAGATATTATCGATTAGAAATCTTGATAAAAAAATTATTTTATAGATGATTATTTATTGTTGCTTGTTTTTTAAAACAATTTCTTTTTAGTATACATTTTCATTTGTTTATTTAAAGTTTTATAAAAGACTAGATATAGTCTCTAGGATATCGGTAAAAGTATTAAAGGCATTGCGACATAATCTTATCTGTGCTTATCTTAGAATATTACAGAGTGATAGAGAATAAAGGTTTCATTCATACGGATAATCAGAAAATATTTTATATATCAACTATTCTATTTTATTTTGTGTTATTTTAAATTATCTTTTAAATATCATCAATTAAGTAGTGGATTAATTAAGTGGAATAGTTTCAGAAAAGGATGATAGATACTCTAAGTAAGAAGACAAATATGTGTTCATAATCTACATGAAATAAAAATCTATTAATGTAATCTTCTGTGCATGATGAGTCATTCATAATGAGAATTGTTGCATTAGTTCAATAAGAGTATTTTTTTATTTTGATAATATTTTCATCACATTGTAAAATTCAGAATTTTGGAAGAGTGAAAGAAATAATCAATAATGTGCACTTATGTACACATATATACATCATATGCATTCTACGCATGAGTATATGTAATTTAGAAGCGTCAAAATGCAAAGATCAAATATTTGAGTTTCAATCTTTCAACGACCTTTCCCGCCGCGCTGGAAGAACTATCACTAAGGACTAAGATTTATGCATACGTGTAGCTTATTTCAACAAGAAAAATAATAGGAGATATATTCGTTAAAGTACTCACCTCTATAAGCGTGATTTTACTTATTCGATGAGACATTCGACTAAATGCTATCTGACTCGTTTACGTTACGATATTTTTAATCTCCACGCTTTTTATAGTTTACATTTTCTATTTGTTATTTTTCAAGATTATTTATTATCGATTGAACGGAAATATCTTCGCTTGTGTAAAACGTAAACGCGTTTATATATATATATATGCGCGTAAATTAGAAAGGTGAATATATTCAAATATTCATTATTCGTTGTACTACATGCACTTATTTTTTTCGGAAGTGAATCTTATGTGATATTTTTTTTATACAAAAATATTGGCAACATCATTCATCTGTTTTTTTTTCTCCTTTAAACTTAAGTTTTGCAAACTACACTAAAGTTTACAGTATCCAGAAACGAAGATGGATATATAATGCATTCTGAAAATAGATCTGTCGATAGTACAAAGATGTACGGAAAGGTAGTAACTTCAAAAATATTTATTCGCTTGGACGCGGTTCTGAACATCGTACGGTGAAAATTGACATAAAAGTTACTCAGTTTTCTATTTAATACAGTGATTTATAGTAAAATTATTATTTAATTATTATATCAATCTAATGATAAATCGATGCTCGTTGAAATTTGTTTAAATAAATTACGTACTTCTGGAAATTGACACATTCGTGTTTCAAATAAAGGCGCGAAATCAATTGAAATTTAAAAAATATTAACGTAGTTACATATGTATGGCATAACAATGATCCAAATTAATTTCAAACAAGTACACATGTACACACAGATGCATAACAATATAATCTTTTCAAATGTATATTAATTATAAATTCAAGAGATTCAACGATTATATTAATTTTTTTCTTTGTAGATTATTCATGAATTTGTCATCCATCGAACGAAGTTGAAATATAAAAAAAGGTGTGACTTTTATGATCATACCATCAAAAATGAAAGAATAATATATGACTTGAAATATTATTTATCGTGGAACTAGAAATTTATAATAAAAAAAAGAACAGATATTTGCAACGATGAAAACTTCGCAAGCAGAAACTCTTCTCGCGATATTGTACACTGCTTCGGTGATATTTGCGATAATATCTTTAGCATCTCTCGCAATCATTTGGCAACATTGGGAAATGACATTAGATGTTTGCATTAGTGTTAATTGTGGTTGTATACTGTATGGTATTAATACGTTTAGCACATTTATGGGAGGAGATATAAAACTTTGCCATTATGGTGTCTACGGACTCGTTCCTGCAATTATAATTGGCTTGTGCCTCAGTATTTATCATATTTACAGATGCTGTATTAATCGTGGCCTTGATGAGCCCAGGTCAATGAATTATAACAGCAACAGGTATACTAATTAATTATTATCGCTTTCTTACCTTTATTTTCATCTTAACATAAACATCTCTTCATTAGTCTGGTTGACAAAATATTTGTACAAATCCTACGTCATATTTGTCATTTCCGCCATTTCCTTCCATGCGTACGCATGCGCAGTACATCATTAATTTCCGATTTTCAAATTTAATAGTAAGGGTAAATTAGATATTATAATATTTAAGATGCTTTATGTTTTATTAAAGAATTTTAGATAGTTATATTTATGGTATTATCTTTATAGATGGTAACATCTAATATTTTATGATGTTAATTATGAATTTTGTAGAGCCACTATTAATGGGCAAGTTGTTGTAATTGGTCCAAAAAGAAGAGCTCCATTTAAACAATGGATACCATCAGTATTTTGCGCTGCTTTGATTGGCTGTTTATCGCTTGCGCATGCTGTTGTCACAACCGATGGTTTTTTTAAAACTTGTGAACAGTATAAAAGAAGTCTGATACAACTTTTGGGTTCTAGGGGACGTGAAGCTCATGTAAGATTTATTTCTTATTTTTTATTTATTGTAATTAGGATAGAATATTATTTATGATAGTATTTTATTAAATTTTTGAAAAGAAGTAATAAATAAATATATTTTTTATCTACTAGATAATTCGATACAGACTCGCTTGCAGTGCAATTTTTGACTACATGGATTATCTTCAACCGGATGCCAATAATTTTAGACGAGGAGAAGAATTAAATACAGGTTTTGCATTACAACTCGCTATTGTTTGTACATGGCTTAATTTTTTTACATGGGTTTTTATATGCGTTCTCTCTTTCATTATGGCAAAAAAGAAACTCAACACTTTTGGAGAACACTTCTGTTGTTGTTAAATTCATTTTCTTATTGAAGTATTATATCGTTTAATATCAATTTACAAAATCTATTTTGATCAGCGATAAATGATTCGCTTTGTTAGTCTATTCATATTAAAATTTATTATCGTTCTATCATATATATTAATACAAATATAAAACATATTAATTATGATACAATTTATTTCAATGCTCTGTATTTGAATAGATACAGTGAAAATGTTATTAATACATAATCGTTTATGTACATCGTCGTGTAATATTTATTCATTTAGGAAAAATATCAATTAGAATTGGGGTATATATAACTGATAAATGAAAATTAATTAATTAAACAAACAATTTAATTTGACAATATGAAATCATGAAATTTATGACATTGTGTAATAAAAACAACTAATATTATTTTTTCAAATGTATTCTATTTTGAATAGTTAAATAAAAGTACCGCTTTTTTTGTTAATGAAAAAAAAGGAGGAATGCATCATTTTGATATTATTAACAAAGATTAATTCCAACTTTGAATAATGGTATTTTTGTTTTTCTTTACGTTAAAAAAGACATTTTGTTTTCTACATTATATTTTAATATTTTCTTAGCACCTATTGTTTACAATATATAAATACTGTAAAGAACGACGGGTTTTAAGGCCGACGAATACTAGATTGTCCTAGTATACAGAACAGCAGAAAATTTAAATCCTTAAAATGCACAAGAGTTATTATAAGTTAATTTATTAAATAAAATAATAACCTGATAATTAAGAATTTTCTATATTTTCTATTACTCGAGTTATATTATTTAAAATATCTAATGAATTATATATTTTTGATTATTATAAATAATTTTGTATACATCATTCGTAACGTAAATTTTCTCATATTATTTGTGCATTTCAAAGATTTTTCTTTACTGATATCTTGTATATATTTTTTTATACAGATTTAAATAATTAGTTTCTATAGTATTCAAATTCATAATTGTTCTTATATAAAGTAAATTGATAAATACATTCGCACATTTAATTTCTATTATTATNATTATTATTATTATTATTATTATTATTATTATTATTATTATTATTATTATTATTATTATTATTATTATTATTATTAATATTATTATTACTATTATTTCTTTTTTTCTTTTCTTTTCTGAGAACTTTACATTTTAATAAGAGTTTGTGTTGCAAAAGTTTCGCAGTAATGTATAGGAACTGAATGGAAAACAATTTTCGGACGTTAAATCTTACATTAGTAGACATAAAATTGACTCAGTTTGTTTGATAATATCAGTAATCTTACTCTATACAACAGCAGAAAGTACAAGCTTGAATGGCTACATAATAAATGAAGGCACCTAATTATATACGAGTTAATATCTACATTATACTGCATCATATGTATGCCTATGTGTATGTGTGTATTTATATATATGTCAGCATATAGAAATATTAGCTATAGACATTTCTATTATATTGTCTTCTTTTTTTTAAATAGTTAACTAAATTTCATTCGAAGATATAATAGATATTTTTTAAAGGCGCAGTATTAGCAACGAGGGATGATATTCGAATAAATAAGCGAGCAGATATTAGAAGCCTTTAATTATTCTTATCTTAAAAAATAGCAATTTTTCCAAGCTTTCATCAGCAATTTTTAATTTATAAATATCAATTGTTAAGAAAGTCGTTAACAAGAAGCATGGGATACGCTACATACATATAAGGCAAAAATTAGCAATACGGTTCAAACAATGTCATTTTCTTAACTAATTTAATATCTTAAATATTTTGATATTGCTAAGAATTATGAAGATTATGATATTATAAGAATATATGAAGAAAATGTACATGTATATTTTATCTTGGTCTTCAAACAAATTGATCTTTATACAAAAGACGTGCAAATATAATTTGTATTAGCGATCAGACAATATTATTATTAGTACAGTATTAATGACACATACTAAAAGTTATTTATTTAATATCATCTAATTATTATTACTGACTGTTAATCAACAATTCAGTCTTACGTAATAAGGCAATATTTTAGGCAAACCAATGAAGACAAATATAGTTTAAATATTTTTCTTTTTTTTTTTCTAATATTACTTCATCGCATATATTGTAGAGTTTTGATTAGGACCTCATAGAAATGTCCTTAGTGCTATTATCTGCGCCTTTATAAACTGTGAAGTTTGTAAGCGATATTTATTTTTCTTTTTTACCGAAAGGAATATATGTTATTATATAAATTCCTATCGTGAAAAATATTATTTTATACAATGCACACACTCTCGTCGTATATATTACGACAAAATTGTATATATTTTATAATTTTATTCATGTATACATGTAACTAACATCTTTACAGAAAAGTTTTTTTTTTAAAAAAGATGTATCGTAACAACTAATTTTTTGCAAACCGTACTAATAGATATCTACAAATTTTTCAAGTATAAATGTAGTGAAAATGTTTAGCTGCAAAAATAGATGCGTGAGAAATTCCTCTACCAAATTTTTTTTCGTTTTCTTTTTTTCCTTTTTTTTTGGTATCGAGCTGCCAAGTTAAACCACTTGGTTTTATCTAAAAAACATTTTGGAAAGTATATGTATATATATATACCTTCATATAAATTAATATTACGTATATATATATATATATATATATTACTTTTACATGATGTAAGACCTATTACTTCCTTATTTCTACTTGCCTGTACAATTCTTCTAGAAATGCAAAAATTAATTGAAAGATGACGTTACACGGATGAATATTTTCCAATTCGCATAAGTCGTCTTTACAGAACGCACCATTTGTCAGTCAGGCATAAATATATGTATATACTTGTTGCATATGCCTTATCGTATACACATATGCAGCTACCTGCTGCTATCACATGAAATATTTCTTATCCGATTTGTGAAAAAATATAAGACTTAAATAAAAAGATATATATATATATAACCTTTGAGAAAAATTCAACGTATATTGAATTGAATATATATATATATATTTTGTTTTCAGAACTTTAATCATTTTAACCATATTTTGGATTACGTTATGTAATCATATTTATAATGTAATACAAATCATCGTACTATTTCGAGACTATATTTTCATTCAAAATACTAACATTTAATTAAAATGCATCATATATATTTTTCTTGCTTGTTTTAGTAATAAATACCTTGGCTATTAGTTAGCTGTATTTCTTCTCAGGTAAAAGGATTGCTTCTTCTTTTCAAGGAACCAAATTTCTTTTCTGGTTCTCTTATTACTTCGAAAGGTGTTACCTTCGTTCTAACTTGTTTCTCGTCATTGTCGTCACTAGGAAAATCTTCGAAGCTCATGTTACTAAAACCAGATGTGGCTGCAGAGCCCTTTTTTATTTTGAGATTTTTTTTATGTGCCGCAGATTTAACTTTGTGAGATATTTTAGTAGGCAGAACATTAACGGCATCGCCATGGTTCTCATTAATAAGATGGTATTTTGATTTATCAGACTTGGATTTATCCTTCTTATGCTTTGATGGATTATCTGTAACTAAAGGTTCTGGAGACATAGTAGAAATTAATTCTGGTGTAATACTTAATTTAGAAATGCTATCTAATGCCTGAACTGCTATCGTAGTAGTATGCTGCACTGTTGTATAAGCCTGTAATGTTGTTGGTATTATTGGAACAGTGTTTAATGAATATATGTTACATGTTGACACGGTATTTAATGAATTCTTCACAAAGTTTGGAGATTGCGATAATGGTAGAGATGTTGGCCTTTGCTGTTCACTCATTCGCAAGTTAGCAAATTCTTCGAAAGGTTCAGATCCAAAAAGATCTTTGGAAGACTCCATATTCAATGTTTCTGAATTACTGGTTACAGTGGCACCAAGTTTAGAACTAGAAATAATTGGTGAATTATCTGTACAATGATTATCTGGAGTTTTATAAGATTGCGAAGTGATATTAGCGTAATTAGCATAAGAAGAAGGTGAATTTATAAATGCAGAGATTGTTTGATTGTGTGTTTTTTCAACGTTTATATATTGTTGCATATTGTTGAAGGGATTTGTAAAACCACTTGGGCTGAAAGGCGAAGATCCAAACAGATCTTTTTCTATATCTTCCTGTTCATTAGTATTAGAACAAAGAAGAGCAGTGGTCGGAGATTGTTTAACTGAATGAGCAAAGTCTACTATTTCGTAATTATTCTTACTCATATTTATATCTGTGAAATTTGTAGAAGGCAATACAGATAATAATTCGGCTTGAGTTTTACTTTCTACGTTTCCTAAAAATTCAGACGTAACTGGAGAACTTGATATAGGTGTTACCAAGTTTGAATTTTGAGGAGAATTTCCAATACTGTTCTGTCCAAAATGTTTACGTCCGCTATCACGACTGTCACTACTTTTTTTAGAGCTACTAGACCTTGGAAATGGTGCAAGTGCAAATACATCGTTTTCTATTTTCCAAACACTATTACTTAATGATCTTAATTTATCGTTTTCATCTGATGAACTATTACCATCTAATAACAAAGGTTTTGATCCATACTGGAGACCAACAAACGGATCTCCATGAGATTGTTCTGGTTTTGATTCAGGATCTAATTCATCATCTAATAATAAAGGTTTTTCTCCATATTGATGTCCTACTACAGGATCAGAATCGATTGTCGGTAGATGTTGAGTATGGTGATGTTTTTTTGGCTTTTTCATTCTATATTCTTCTTCATGTGTTGCAACAGATTCACATTCGGCATGATACGCCGAACTTCCACAAGTGCGTACACTCTCTGAGATAGTCTCATCTATTTTCTTTTGTTCGTCGTCATCATTTTCTTGATTACACTCCTCATCATTTATTGCTTTTAAATCACTAGCAGATCCTATCGAATCGTCAGATTCATATTCTACGTTGGTATTGTTTATATCTTGATTCACTTTTTTTTTCCTACTCAATACATTTTTAACTCTTCTTTTTTTCTTCTTCACTCGTTCTAAGGCTACATCCTTATCGCTATCGCTTGATATTTCATCAGCATTAAAAGCTAATTTTTCATACTTCGAGCGATCTTCAATTGGAGCTCGGACGAAAGGCGGAGAAATAGGATTAGATTCGGTAAGCAACGATGCTTCATCGTCCATTCCATCTTGTTTTACTCCTGAATTCCATTGTTTTAAAGGCACCCTAATATTATTATTTTGAATCCTTCCTGAAAAATAAAATATTATGTTTATCTTCAAATAAATTAAATTTGTATTAAATAATTTTAAAGAAGTAAATAATTTTCCTGTTAGCGTAGCTCGTTTTATAACTTAACTGAATCTTATACTTACCTATGTACATTTATACACAATTATCTAATTCTAATACATTGCGCTTTTATTACAGTTTCGTTTAATTGCACCTTAACCATTATCGTTTAACACGAATTTCTTTTTCTTTTTTTTATACGCAAAATAATACATTTCTTTATAACATCCTTAATTCCAAGGAAATATATATACAAGCTTATACAAAGCTAACATTAATTATTAATTATACATTTAACGATAAAATAATGTTATATATATATTTTTATAAGGAACTGTGATTTGATAATATATACATATACAGTATATATATAGAAAAGAAATATACTTAAGAAATTTATATGAAGGATATATATCTGATTAGGTCTGCCGCAGACAATGTGTTATGATAAAATGTAATGTGCATATCTTCTCTTTAATAATATTAAGTTTACATCTAAATCTATTTAAGTTTGCT